AACTTTTTCAACTATATGTTCCCACCAAGTTTTCATTACTGGCAAATGATAATTTTTACAGATGTTCCAGTGAATCATTTTGGTGACTATGTTATGTTGTTGCTTATAGTCAGTTTGTGCAATCTTCTTGCACGAGCTGAATATATAATCTACTCTTTTTTCTGCTTCTTTACACAATCTGCACTTTGAATCATTTGATGATTTTTCAATTCTGACCTTGATTGCATTAGTTCAAATAGCTTGCTCTTGAGCAGCCAAAATCAAGCCTTCAGTTTCTTTTTTTAATGTTCTAGTTGTAAGTCACTGCCAAGTTTTATCTATATCCACTTTCCCCTCGAACGTTTGTAGAAATTGACCATGTAATGCTTTTCCTTGCCAGCATTCTGTTCATGTTTTTATTACATTATTTCTATATTCACGTTTTGTTTCCTGTACATTAACTTCCAATTTTTAACTTGCATCAGTGCTTGTTCTTCACTGTCTTTTACATAACCAGCCAATGCATGCTTTTCTTCAACAGTTTGACTTGAAGTAAACCTCTGCTTCTATTTCTGTGGAGCAGGTATAATCTATCAATATCATGACGGGGCTATAATGCTTATTATTATTATTATTTCCAATTATTGGACATCAGGTATTCTATAATATCTGAGCAGATTAACCTATTTTACAAGATACTATTCTTGTAGTGCCTTGTAAAATAGATCACACAGAAATGTATAGATACATAACAATATATTAATTTTTGAAATAATGTATGGATAGAATGCCTGTGTGTTACCTTCTGAAAATTCAAATGTTTACTTACATCTTTATCTATTTTTCTTTGTACAGTAATCTTTTGGAATATTTACTTATTTTTAACACACAAATATACAGAAATTTACCAAATAAGGGGCAGTTCCACATTAATCTTCTTGAGTCAAGAAACAATAAAACATGCAAACATGTTTTTAGTTAGTATGAAAAAGGACCTTTATTGAATCTCCTTCACTTGCAAGCAGGCATTATGCAAAAGTTGTTATTACAGAAAATGGAACTAATGAGTAAGACAGAACAGTAAATGCTATTAAAATGTTTGCTTTATGCTACTTCCATCTAAATAAGAAGCAATGTCTTAACAGTATTAAAAAACTTTGTTATTACAGCTGAAGTTCTGACATTATTATGCTGAGTTATATAACATACAAAAGCTCTGCAAACTCTTCAAAAGAGATGCACCAGAATGCATGGAAGCCACACTGCAGATAGCAAAGGAAAATGGTTGTGCCTGCGCATGCACACAGAGACAGCTGGGAGCAGCTTCCAAAGCAGCCATGTGAGTCTGGAAGAAGAAGTGGTTGCTTTAACAATTTGAAAAGAGATGCTTTATACACATTACTCTGTGTTCTGAATCACTTCTTTCAAAGGATTTACACAGTCCTATAACCTATGTGCCAATTATGCTATTTCTTTCACTTTTCATTGGATGGATGGAAGGCAGGCAGGAGCAATAAGGGTTGGATTAAAAGCCACAAAACATTGTGACTGATAGTTCTGAAATCTTGAGTTGCTTTGAGAATGATACTGCTTAGCTAAAGATTTTCAAGTAGATTAAAGCAATGGAAGCTTAATGGCTATACATAATTTCTGTTTATACTCTTTGTACTTAAAACGTTTATAGTCACATAGCACAAGCAAAGTGTTTGGGGTTTTTTTACAGCTATATTGACGTAGGAAATGATGCAAAACATTGTAAGTGATTCATAGTCGAATTCTGCCTTATTTGAACTCTCTCAAAAAATATGGTACTCATCAATGTTAAAATTAAACTTCCTGCAGTTAAAATATTCTCATGTTAGGAAATTGCCATACCACAATATTTTTCTCACTCAGCAATGCTTACATCCTAAAACTGCACTCATGAGACTGATATACCCTTTTTTTTCTTATTCCTAAGGGAATTGCTTTAGTACAGTTTAAACGTATTATTTAAACACTATCAAAGCATTTAAGGAGGGAGAATTTCAAATATGTGTGGTTCAGTCTTATACAACTGAAGGCTTCATCATTACTTTTTTCAAAAACATAAATAACTATTGAACATGCACAAAATATATGATCTCCTAAGAAACAAGCAATTAACAACCTTTTAATATATAATGCACTGCCAGGAACTCTAAACTGGCACCCAAGTGAAAAAAAAAAATCTACACACCAATATTATAAGGTAAATAATGGGCTCAGAACATGTTTTATGAGGCTTCCATCTCATCTGTTATGTTTAATACTTTTTAGGAGGTACCAGACAAATTAATCAAATTACCCAGCTTGCTTAGTATAGGTTTGACTACTGCACTATAAATTAATAGCAGTTTTTCCTATGTGAAATGTGAGACTGTTTCCAGAGTTCATTTGACACACACCAAGGGGGGGGGAGGGGGGGAGGGGAAAGTTTTTTATGGTTAATACTCCTGGTTTTCCTTATTTTCTCTATATAGAAATTGAGAAACCTAGAATAACCCTTCTCAGTCCTTAATTAAAGATTATATCATGTATACCTGAGTTCACTGTTTGTTGGAAACAAGTGTATTCAACATACATCAGACTGTAAAAGGACTACACTGTTCTTGCATTCAGACTGTGCAGCTTCCCTGCCCATTTGTGTTGCAGACTGAAGCAATGATAAGGCTAGGAAACATATTCTGAAGCGCCTGAAAAAGCAGTGATATGAAAAGAGTCCCTTCCTCTCCAAAAGAAAAAAGGAAAATACAGAGGAGGAAACTCACAGCACCTTCCAGGCAGCCTTCCCTCAGCCTGGGTCCATGGAAGTGGCAGAGGGTCTGTCAGGTGAAAAGAACCTGGTAAGATAGACCAGTCAGGTGGACAGGTTGTGCCTACAAGGCAAGACCTGAAAAGGTCTCTTTGAGACTGCTGTCGGAGCTTAGGAAGCAAAAGAACTGAGCTGTGCAACCCTGCTTGGGGTACCTGCCAAAGGAGCAAAGGGCTGAAGAAATCCTGTGCATCTTCCACAGGATACCTGTAATAGCAAAACACCAAAGACAGGGGAAGGGGACTTGAGCAGAAATGTATCATCTTTGGAAACTGAAGCTTTCCTCTGAAAGACAGTCTGTCCCCAACAACAGCCTGTGGCCCTTTTAACGGTGCTCAGTTACAGCATCCAACATCCCTCACTCTTGACAAGACTGGCTAGAGCTGCTGGGAGTGGCAATTCATAATATCTGGAAAGCCACAGATGATTTAAATGTAATTATTTAAAGTTAATTTCTTTTGCATAAAAGTATGAACCCCACCCCCCACCCCCGGCTAGTGGACTCACCCATATGCGGCACTTGTGACAATCTGGTTTTAAGATCCCAGGTATAATTATGGTGTGAAATCAGAAATTCATTGCTGTAATTCTTCCTAGTAGAGAGAGGCAGCTAAATTTATCTTTGTCATTTAAGATAATAATAGACATTTTGCCAAAATAGTGATAATGTTATTCACACTTATAAGAACTTCAAGTGCTGAATTCAAACCAGAGGATATAACACTTCTCCCTCTTTCCAAGGAATATACCTTTTCACAGTTGTGCTATAAAAATGCTGGCAGAAGGTCCAGGAGGATTGTGTGGCACTATTTTCTCAACTCTGGACATCCTGAAGCAGAACAGTTATATACATTTGTGTATGTGTATTATGTATGACTAGTAGAATTCAGCTGTGTCCAGCAGTTACCAAGACTTGACCTCTGACAAGTTGGCCAGTGAGAAGTAGCAGTCACTAGTGTTCCTAAGAAGACCCCTCAGGAGACTTGGACTTATCTGCTGCAACTAAATACACCATTCCCTCTCAAAGAGGGAGACTGCATATAGTCTTAAAGCAGTGGGAAGATCAGTGAGGAACCATTTGGGTTCACTATTTATCTTCTTCCTTTGGGCAGGACTGAAAAAAATGAGGCTACTCTGCCATTCTAACACCCAGAAAGGGAGGAAACAGAAATTACTTTCTCCTAGCCATCACTTCCATCTATTACTTCTGAATCCTACATATATTCTCATTCTCTTGAATTGGTTACTGGGGGGTGACACAGTTACTTTTTACTGGCCAGGATGGGTATGTCACCTAACTGACTATTCAACATTTTAGACAGAGCTATCTGAAAAAGCTTTGACTGAGTGAGCAGATACAGAGAAGCCAGTTAGTAATGACAAGTTGGTCTACTGAGCTCAGTTCAACTGATCCTTATCAAACCCACAATAATGTTTAGGCACAGAACAAGGGCATTCAAGCACTGGTCAGATCAAACTATTACATCACCCAGAGGAAAAGTTGGTAGGAACCTTTGCTTAGCTGTGCTCTCTCTGGGAGTAACAACTGAATTCACCAGACCACTATGCTGCCTAAAGGGGGAGTCTGCACACAAGATCATAGATGAGCAAGCTGAAGTGAGCATGCTATTTATATCAAATGTTGGTTCCCCCTGGATAATGTGAGAATAGCTGTGTTTCTACATAGAACCACTTCACAGTTTGTTTTAACTAGTGCTTCTTGAACAGCCACAACAGCCCACACAGTAACCTATGTTGTAAACAATGGGTTACAAATCACCACGGCTGGATTTCCCTAAGTCAAAGCCCAACAAATCCCATTATGGCTTAGCACCAAGTATGAACTCTGCCGGTGGGGATGGGGCCTTCTTGGTCCAGTCCCAATTCCTACACTTCCCAAACCACGAGCGATGAGGCTGCAGTGCCAGTGCTCTCCCTTTGTGCACGATGCAGTGACAACCGCTGCACTGCTGGGAGAGTGTCCTTATGGAGAGCAAGCGCATCTGCTTTCAGTAGCTGCCTCCGCCACTCATCTGCAAAGCAAAGCCGCAGCCCTACACAGAAGCGGCTGTCACCTTCACTGGCTCACCTGGGCTCCCTCTCTGTCTGCGTGACCCTGTTACCGGGGTCGGATCCGTTACGGGGAACGGGTGGAAGGACTGGTGGGGAAGGGGAGGGCGGAGGGAGGGGCGCCGAAGGGAAGTCTTCCCCTTGCATACCACCCGCGATTACTGTTGGGGGGCAGTTCGTCGATGGGGCTGGAAGAGAGAAGCGAGCTGGGAGGTTCCAGGCCCCGCGTTTTCTGCCTGGGAAGGGCAGAGTGGGAATGAAATGGAGGATGGGAAGCCTCGGGAGGGGGGAAGGCAACCCTCGCCTGTGCTCCCCTCAAGGCCCGACCCTCGTAGCCCTCACCTTCTGGCGGATCTGGCCGGAGGTGGAGACCTTGCGGATGAGCTTCTGCGGAGAGCCGGTTTCTTGCTCCGGCTCGCTGTCCGACGACTCTTCCGCCGCCGCCGTAGGGGCAGCGGCGGTAGCCCCGGCCTGGGG